TGCACAAACTTTCACTTGTCCTCCCATACAGCAAAACGCTTAATGTGGCATAATAACGGATGATAAAGACGAAGACTACCATCTTTTTTTTTAACCAAAACTACAGGTGCTGCCCACGGACTACATGATGGCCGAATTATGCCATTATCTTTCATCTCTTTTATCTGCTCAGCAACCTCCTGCTGGAGGTGCAAAGGTACACGACGAGGGGGCAATTTAACAGGCTGTGCAGAGCCAGTATCTATCTTATGCAAAGCAAGATGAGTTCTCCCCAAATCAGTATCCCCTTTACTAAACACCGACACATTACGATGTAATAACTCCTCAATCGCCCGCATCTGTTTAGAATCAAACCCCCGTTCCTTCAACCCAAAATGCGACACTAAATAGTCCACAGTCAAAGGCGAGGAGGAAACTGGCTCATTCACTTTGGTGGTCAACGCACTATCCCCTACCTCCACATCAGGGAAAAAAGTACCAATCTTCATGTTTTTCTTTAAAACACAATTATCTTCGGACACATTGATAACTCGCACTGGCACCACCCCTTCCTCAACCTTACAAACCACTCGAGCCACCAAAACGTCACATGTTGGAAGCATGATAGAAAAAGGCTCCAACATACCCTCGTAATGTTGTGGAAGAAGTCCTTCCACTTTACCAGGTACAATAGCTTCAGTACGAGGGGGAATCATAATATCTGCCTGCACCCGAACTACCTTAGGTTGTACACTACCATCTTCACTAAACAGGGGGAGCTTCTTACCCATTAACCGGCAGCATTTTTCATCCAAATCAATAACTGCCCCAAATTCAGAGAGAAAATCTGTACCCAACAGTAATTCTTGGGGGGTAACATCAGCCACCAAAAACTCAACGATCACAGCCAAGGAATCAAACTGGCATACAGTCTGCCAACGACCCAAGATTGACATTTCCCCACCATTCGCCACGGCTACTCTACCCTGATATCCATCTAAACTGGACCCCCCATTAGTTACATTTAACCAAAACTGCTTGGGTACAATAGAAATCTGTGCCCCAGTGTCAATCAATAAACGCGTTTCACACCCACCTACTTTACCTGTCAGAAAAACTCCAGCACCGGTTGTAGAAACTGAAGCCAATTTATCGGACACAGATGCGGGGGCAGGCATTTGGCCTGTTGTGCCCGCCCCCTCTAGTTTCCCTGCAAATAAGGGCAATTCCTATGTAAGTGTTTAGTACAACCACATTCCCAACATGCTTCGGTCCGAGAACGGACCTGTGGCTCAGATGAACTTGTCACGGGAGTGGTGCGTACAGGAGCTGGCACATACTTCGCCTGCATATCCTTTACAGTAACTTGTAAAGCCTTAAATTCTTGATGCAACTCCTCCACTATGCCCAGTAAAATTGTTTGTTATCAGATGAATTCTGAGCACTCAAACCACGGACTTTAGAATCTGAACACTTACCCATTGCATCTTTTAAAAGGGCATAATTATTCTTAGCTTCATAAGGAAGTCCACCATAAATATCTCTGGCTATGACATTATCAGAATCATATAATTATATGATAGTACATTATCAGCGCAGCGGGAGACATTCAAACTAATATCACATAATTTACGTCTCTATGATGATTGGCTGATATCAGAAGGGAGGCTAGCCTCCCTTTCAAGGTTTCTTTTCTAAACACTCCTCAGCGCTGAAAGTGAACACTCGAAGGTGATTGGCTAATTTTTTTTACCAACGGAGGCACGAGAGCTCCTTCTCCCATTTTCCCCTCAAAATTTTGGGGAAGCTGTGCCTCCCCTGCCTCCCCCAACGAGCCGCCACTGCCTTTTGTAATATATCTGTGAAGATATTGAACATTTATTTTTCTATTGCCCTTTTTCTATTTCATTTTGGGTTGACATTAAAATAGACATAACAAAAAAAATTATGAGAAACTTTCTCGAAATAATGACTTATTTTCTCAAAATAATGAGAAACCTTCTCGAAATAATGACTTATTTTCTCATAATAATGAAACTTTCTCAAAATAATGAGAAACTTTCTCAAAATAATGACTTCCCCGACGCAAGAGTGACTGCACGCTAGTGACATCTGTTAGTCAAAGCCATGCAGGAACACTGAAAACATTGCTTTGTTCTGTAATGTAAAGTGTATAATCTGTCATTAAATAACGATTTCAGATAAATTATCTGCATGTAGTCTTGTTAATTTGTAGTACTTACCAAGGTAGTCTGCCAGATAGTTCATGGCTTCAAACATTCCAGACTAATATTTCAGTTAAGAAACCCAGGCATCTTATGAAGAAATGAAAGCCATTACACATATAAACTTAAACAACAGATGTTTATTTCGATGATTTATTAGTTTTGTTAGCTGTCCCTTTCATGCATCACATGCATACAATCATGGGCGTCGGAAGCAAAATAAATGTGGGTGGGTCCTCCCCCAGAAAAAAATGTACTGGAGTATATGCCATTTTTTGTAGTGTGGTGCCTTTTTATTAACAGTGTCTATTTACACAAAGTGCAAATAGGCTGCCTGATTGGCAGCAGCTATTTACTTCACCTCCGCTCACTAACGTAACATTACAAAAGAAGGCTGTTGAGCAACATTTTCAGTGGCGTAAGTGGTAACACGAGTTGCGTGGTGTTTTTGATGCGAGCGACCTGAGTTCGCGTCAGGTCGTTCTTCTCCCTTTTTACATCTCATATCACATCGGAAAGGCTTTTGTTTTCAATAAAAATAAAAATCAAGGAAATAATCGAAAAGTTGAAATAAAGTATCAGGTAGGGTTGGGTGTATCTGAGCAGCAGATGCTGATGCTTTGTTTACTTTGCTGTGTCACGGGAGTGCAGCAGCAGGTGCGAGTAGTGAAAACACGGAATGGAGTGTCATTTATATGGACTCTGAATGAGCCGAGTGGAATGGATTTGAGGAAGCAGCAGCATGGAATTCAAGGCTATAGCTAAATTGAGTTTAATTTATTAGGGCATTCGTCATGTGGAATGGATTTGACTGACGGCGCTCTCAAAAGTACATATATTCGCTGAATTAGAGACGGTAAAAGTGTGTGGGTCCAATATCATTGGTCTTCAAAAGTGGGTGGGTCCTGTCCCACCCTCATTCAATGGTTCCGACGCCCATGCATACAATGTTCATACAGCAAGCCATCTCATTTCAAAACCACAAAGCATCGTTGTTCGTTACCACGGCAACTGCTTGGTCTTCAGCGTCCTGCTTCTTGCAGTACAAACACTTAACGTGAAAAATGCTTAACGTGTCTAGAAGTACAAAGACAGATTGAACCAAATTCAGTACACAACTTAATGATCATGCATACATGCAAATAAACATAAAAAATTACGTCAAAATGGCCATCCTGGTGATTATCCTCGTAAGCACAAAATGTCTTAACTAAATGTAAACATCTGAGAAAGAAAACGCATGTGTATCAGTATTGGATTAGTATTCGGGTTTGTGAGAGCAGCCATGTCGCATCTCTTTGTGAGCTCAAGTTTGTTGTTCCAAATGTAGATGCTAGGCAAGCCTGCTCATAATAGAAGTATTTTTCATTAAATATATGCACGCTATAGGTCAACACAAACGTCTTTCATTGGCGCGTGAGGTCAAATGAGGTGCCGGATCAGATTTCTGACAAATTTGGAGGTGCCGGATCAGGATCCGTCTTGTTCTGGCACAAATTAAGCCCTGACTTTAAGCCACATTAAGCATTTTTGACATTCACATGTCCTGCAAGAAGCAGTGTGGGACGCTGAAGACCAAGCGGTTGCCGTGGTAACGAACAACTACGCTTTGTGCTAGCGAGATGAGATTGGGCTACTGCATAAACATTGTGGGCCTATGCATGTGATGCATGAAAGTGACAGCTAAAAAAACTAACAAATCATCGAAATGAACATTTATTCATTAACTTTATATGTGTAATGGCTTTCATTTCTTCATAAAATGCATGTGATTTTTGTTGGAATATATTCCTCTATATCTGTTTGAAGCCATGAACTATCATTGTCTGGCAGAGTAACTTGTTGGGTAGGTGCTACAAATTAACAAAAGACTACATACAGATAATTTATCTGAATGTTAGTTTAGTTATTTAGTTATTTAATGACAGATTATACACTTTACATTAGAGGTCTGCATTCCCGCAGCTCTCCTGCGGGAACCGCGGGTCCCGACCAGATTTTTTGCGCCGCGGGATTAAATTCCTGAATAAAACGCAGTAGCGGTCGGTAACTCTGGTGTAATTTGAACGGGAGCGGGCGGTCTAACAATATCCCGTTCCCGAGCGCCAGCTGACGAAGGATAGTCTGACAATATTTCAGAAATGTCGAGCAATGTCGAACTGCACAGCCAAGCAGAAGCGCTACGACATTTGGGCCAATCGCGTTGAAGCGCTATAACATTTCCAGCCAATCGAAAAGCGTGATTCTTAACATTTTCTTAACATTCGTGACATTTGACCAATCAGAGTACAGGGGGATGTCGACGGCACGTTTCCGCGTATCGCCGCTAGGTGGAGGGGAGGGGTCAGAACTTCTAGTCAGGTGTCTACAGGGGGATGTCGACGGCACGTTTCCGCATATCGCCGCTAGGTGGAGGGGTCAGCGCTTCTAGTCAGGTGTCAATCAAATTGCCGAACCGCGCCGAAGGTGTACGAAAGAATGACATAATCCTCAGGGGGCGTGTCAGCGGTAAAAAAAGTTCAGTATTGAAATTCGTGACCTACAACGAACGTCAGGAGCTCAGAATAATTTTTACAGAGGACAGCGAAGCTTCATTTTAAAACCAAATACAGCGGTATTACGGACGACAACAGGTAAAAAAATGATAATCTAATTGCAAACGTCTACATGTTTTTTTTTTTTTAATTAGTGTGTTGTTTTTAATTATTCTTTCAAAACTGTTTCATCGAACTCAAGAAAAATGTCTGGCAAACAAAACAAAAAAATCGCATAAAGCGATGTCGTACGTTGAATGGATTTCGCGTCTAAAAAAGTTTGCCAGCACAGGAATTTGGCCATCAAATGAGGGTAATAGGCCAGCTCCTCGACAGAAGAAGTGGTACGAGATTTATCAAAGGGTGAGTGAGTGTTTGTTACCTTTGCATGATGGAGAAATAAAAAAAGACTTAAGTGTTTGTTGACTTACATAATCGAACATTATTAGTATCTTTGTTTAATGTATTTGCATAACAGAACAACACATTAGGCTTCAGTACAAACATGTACCTGATCCCATTCATTAGAAAAATGTAATGTGAGGGTTGTGTTATGTTATGGCTTACACCAATGTAAACCAGTGTGTCATAATTGTTTATAGACATTTATGTAATGTTGCAGGTATTTTGAGATTTATGTCATACTGTTAATGAAAAGCTACATTTAATATTTTTGTGTACTGGGAGATTCAGAGATTTGAGAAGGTGGGGGAAGGGATGGTGAATGAATGGGTGGTTTGAAGGTGTGAAATTTTCCTCTCTTGTTTCTCTCTCATTTAAAGAGAGATACCAGCTGTAACATTATATATAAGATAAATAGTGACTCGTGTCCTAGAAATTAAACAATGAACGAATTAATATATGAATTTAATGAAGTATTGTATGCTCTGTTAAGGGACTCACTTGTATTGTGCATTACATTTGTTATAATGCTTACAGATTGAGAAATGTCCGATGCTGTCTCGTGGCCAGACAAACTTGCTTGGAGGTGTGCTGAAATGCATCTGTGGTTTTCACACTCCAAAGGTAACATTAATGTAGCAAGTATTTTTTGTTAGTATTAATTACTGAAATGGTTTTCTTTCTGAATTGTTATATGTATTTTTTTTGGGTTGTCTTAAACAGCCCACTGCCAGCCCTACTGGACCAGCACAAAGGGTGGTGGAACAACCTGCTGCTGCTGCTGGAACAGCAAAGAAGGCCATGGAGCAGAGTCGGCCTGACCCCCAGCCCCAGCCTACTGCACCTGTGGCAGCAAGAGGGGGTTTTCACACTCCAAAGGTAACATTAATGTAGCAAGTATTTTTTGTTAGTATTATTTACTGAAATGGTTTTCTTTCTGAATTGTCTGCTGATTGGTCAGTTTGAATATCTCAGATTTGGTTTAAGTCACATGGTCAAGGATAAATGAAGAATGTAACCTGTGTGCTCTCTCTCTTTCAACTCTGGGCTTTACTCTTGGATTGTCCTCTTCCTCTCTAACTGAGCTCTGCCTGGGTTGAAGGTCACTGAGCTAGACTCATGTCCCTCATGGCATCTCTCTCTATACTTCTCATATGTTAAAGCTACATTTTCTCTTTTTCATTATCTCAGGCAACATTCCATATACACGCTGGCTATTATTAATTGTACACATGTTAATAATTATTCCATCATGCAAATATTTTGTAGTTATTTCAAGAGTCGGTACTGCTAATAAATCATTCCTCTTATAGACTACACTTCCATACAGAGAGAAGTGTTTTTGAAGGCTGCATTTACTTAAAATAGCAATATTAATATAAATAGTAATGCTTGCTATTATAACACATTCTGTCTTCTCACCTTTTTAGTTTACCAAACCAAGATTTACTGGCTCTCACATTGCTGCAGCAAAGCCGAATCTTAGTGTGGCCAGGAGACCTTCTCAGGCTGAAGACCAGCACAGCGCAGCAGTGTCTAGTGCCTCTATACCAAGCACCACTGTCTCTGTAAGTAATTGCATAATCTACATTGTATTCTATGAAGACATGTTCCACGTTCCATTCTATCCAAATTATTAAACTTTTTAAAATATTTTTTAATACCAGAAAACCATATTTTAACAAAGAAAAAAGCAATATTATATAAAAATATTTCATACAAACTACCATTCAAAAGTTTTGGGTCAGTAAATTATTATTTTTTTTTAAGATATTGATACTTTTATTGAAAAAGGAGGCATTAAATTGATCAAAAATCTCAGTAAAGACATTTAATGTTACAAAGGATTTCTATTTTGAATAAACCCTGTTCTTCAAACTTAATTCTGAAAAATATATTTATCAAGACTGAAAAAGTCACATTTATGGACTTTGTTGTGTTAACTCTACTCATTTTCCTTGACCTAGTTTCTGTCTCCCCTTGATTATGTTATTCAGTTCACTTGTGTCTAGTTAATTTACTCATTCATGCCTCATTGGTCTGTCTACTTAAGCTCTAGTTTGTTCAGTTTGTCTTGGTCCTTGTGTTACTGCCTTCCTTTGTGTGGATTAATTAAAGACTATTTACCCTTCATTTTCATCTTCCTGCGCTTTCCTCAACACAGTAAGCGTGACAACCACTAATGCAGTTTTATTAAGTATCAGCCATTTTCACATTTTCAACTAATAGTAATGAATGTTTATGTTCAATAGAATGGTTTCTGAAGGATCATGTAACACTGAAGACTGGAGTAATGATGCTGAAAATGTGTTCTTGCCCCCATAGGAATAAATTACATTTCACAACTTTAAATTGTAGTAATGTTTCACAATGTAACAATATCTTTTTACTGTTTTTACTGTATTTTTGATCAAATGCAAATCTGGTGAACAGAATAGGTTTCTTTTTTAAACATTTAGACCTCAAACTTTTAAACTGTAGTACATCATATAATCTAGGATGAGTTAAAGTTAAAGAACGGCTGCTTATCGAGCTCCTGAGCAGCAATAGCAATGACTCTCTGGGTGTTCCTCTCTTGGACCGAGAAAGGATGGAGCACATCTGGAGTGTCCAGAAGAAGCACGTCAAGTGTATCCAAGACCCCCCTGGTGTTGCGCTCTATACAGGGAGCTTAAACAACCCCCTGGTGTTGCGCTCTAGACAGGGAGCTTAACCAAGGGAGGTGTGCTTCTGAAGACATACAGATGTGCCAGAGGCTCCACTTCTCTTGAATCCTTTCATTTACACCTTAACCGTTTCATCCCAGGTACGTCTTTGTCACACACACTGTGCATATGTAAAGAAAGAACATTAAGTGTCTTTGTGTGTTTAACACTCCCTAAAAACTGTTGTCTGTTTACAGGACCCAGTGCAAACAGTCTGAACTTTCAGATTTATTTGCTGTAGGGTCTACACGGGTGGAACCAGGATCGGGAGGCTGCTTCTCTGTCATCGGAGCCATCAGCCTTGCGCAGCTACACAGGAGAACTTGTTCACTGTGTAAACTGCAATTATGAAAAGCTGCCTGTTTGGCAGGAAAGTGGTCCCCACGTTTTGTCCTCCTGCATGTTACACCGGTAAGAAAATGTATTATTGTTAATTAACTCGCAATTTCTGTGTAATCTCAGTCGATATTTTATATTTAAGCCTATGAAGTCTACTGTATCTGTGTTTTAGACCTCTAAATTATCAACATGATCAAATTTCTTTTCTTGAAACATGCCCTCTGTCATCTGATTGATATTTACTATCAAGTAAAAGGACTTTCAGTATAATTGTACAAACGTCTACCTTCAGCTCATACTTCACATGTCATTTTGCTGTGAAATCTTTACTATTAGTGTGACGAGTGGGGGCGGGGGCGTCCCGAACTACGAACGTTGTTACAATTAGAAAGTAATTGTTATTTTTAGAAAGAATAACTTGGATATTATTAGTAATATTTGGTGACCATTTACTGTACTGAGTATAGGTTTATGGCCTCTGAATTTTTTTTTTCTCTTCGACTATGAGCTCAATGTTCTCACACTTACATAAGGCATTTGTTGTAGCTCATATAGTGTATCAAATATGATACACAACAATTGTATTTAATTCCTGTTTGTTTGTTTTTATTCCAGGTGAGCTCATTGGAGTGCAGTATCTGTTCCAGCAGACTGGACAGGCACTGCAACCCAGACATGAACCCAGACTCTGAAGAGACGGCAGAACTCATCGAGGACCTTAATGTGGAGGAGCGAGAGGAAGATGAGGGCTTCTGTGACATCAGCGAGGATCACACCATTGCAGATCCAGAGGTTGTTCTGTCACCACCCTCCTCCACACTGACACTGGGTTCTTCCACCCTGGTCACCAGCAGTGACACGGCTGTACTGGGTTCTACATCCCCTTCACTGGTCCCTGACCCCACACAGTCTCCTTCATCACCTGGACCCTCAGGGACTGCTGTCTCACCGGTTCCCTCTGAAACATCTGTTTCACCACTCCCCTCAGAACCAGAGGATGCTGGTCAGGATGATGATGAAGAGACGGTAAGTGCCACTCCTCTGTATTTCTTTCAAATAAACTAGAATAATTCAAACAAGGATGGATCAACATCTACTGCTTACTACTACTTTAAATCCAGACTTTGCTCAGATTTTAAACTAAAGTCATTAGTAGGCAACAAAGATGCATAGAGTCAAATCAGTTTTATTTCGTTAGTGCTTTGTACTATACAGATTGTGTTAAACAGCTTCACATTGATAAACAGGAAAATAACCGAATCAATGGAACTATGCATCAAACAAATGGGATGGGAAAAAATTTATATTTTGTGCTTGTGTTTTTTAATAGGCTGTTGACTACCAAAATGTAGGATATCAACATGTGGACAGGCTGGCAGAATGTCTGGTGGAGCTCCGGGGTCACACAGCCCTCAGCCTGACCAATCAGGAAGCCAACACCATAATTGCACTAAAACCTGGATGACCGGGACAAGCAACTGGATGACCGGGTGTATGCAGCTCGACACCAGAAGAGACTGCTGAGTGGACGCTTCAGAGTACCAAAGAGGCCCACACAAACCCCTGGTGTAGAGAGCACCACCAGAAGTGTGCTGGGTGCAAGCAGTGCACCTGCTCAGTGGCCTGACTGTTGCCGTCTGGTGGAGACCATCTTCATCAGACTTTGCACAATTCACTCAAGCCCCAAAAGAAAAGGCAAGGGAATGCTGTCGAGATGGTCTCTGATCCTCCAAGACTACAGAAGGATAAGGCAGCTTGTACTGGGCAACAGCTTGGTGATGGGAGGAACCTCAATGCAGCTGGTGGAGGTTAACCAGAACACCCTGATTCAATGGTACAACAACAGACAGAAAAAGCAGGAGCTGTCTGTGCTGCTTCAGGGCATTCAGTTGCCTTTAGCCCCTCCCTGAAGCTCAGGAACCTCTCCAGGCAGCCAAACGCCCACGGACTGAGCCAGAACAACCAGGGGAGCAGCACCAGTACAAGCTACCAGAGAGCACAGCAGGTCAGGCAAAGCAGAGGCAGACTTCTACTGGATGACCCGGTCTCAAGACCCAAAGCACCAGCACAGAGTCCTATGTTGCTTACGCCATCGGCACCTGGAGCATCAGTGCAGATGGTACCCAACATACTTATACTAGCAGCACCAGGTTTCCAGGGTGTGCCGATGCTTCAGTGTGTGCCAGTGTTCCAGGGTCTGCAAATAGTTCAAAGACTGCAGATGGTCCAGGGAATGCAATGGTTCAGGGGATGCCGATGGTTCAGGGAATCCCGATGGTCCAAGCAGCGGGACATGCTTTTACATCAATGAGAGGTGGTGTACAGCTGTAACCGTGTTAAAGAAGATGTGCTGTTAAAATCTAGAAGTGCTCTTCATTAACTGCCAGCCGTTCTATTCGCCGTGGGAGTTTTGCTCATTCATTCTCGTCACTGTTGTTGTACCACTGAATCAGGGTGTTCTGGTTAACCTCCACCAGCTGCATTGAGGTTCCTCCCATCACCAAGCTATTGCCCAGTACAAGCTGCCTTATCCTTCTGTAGTCTTGGAGGATGAGAGACCATCTCAACAGCGTTCCCTTGCCTTTTCTTTTGGGGCTTGGGTGAATAGTGCAAAGCCTGATGAAGATGGTCTCCACCAGATGACAACAGTCAGGCCACTGAGCAGGTGCGCTGCTTGCACCCAGCACACTTCTGGTGGTGCTCTCTACTCCAGGGGTTTGAGTGGGCCTCTTTGGTACTCTGAAGCGTCCACTCAGCAGTCTCTTCTGGTGTCGAGCTGCATACACCACCCATTGCTTGTCCCAGTCAT